AATTTCTGTTGAGCCCGATTGAGGTGAGCAGAATTTGTTAGAAGCATTTCAAATAAGTTAACACAAATATTCACAATAATGAGACGGCGTGTCATGCGCAATAAGTGTGTAGCTAGCTCAAAGGTAAAGGTTAAGGTCAAATGCAAACAAGGAATTTTTTCAAACAGCTTGTCCGCACAATAACTCTATCACTAGCTGATGGAATTTCATATAACCTGGGACACATGTTCAACATCAAGAGATAGTGTTTTGTGCACATGAACAGTGTGGCTAGGTCAAAGGTCAAGATCTAACTACCGGTGGGATAATAATTGTCAAGGTGGTAACTCTGTCAATGGTAGGGGGATATAGAAATAGTCTTCGTCCGTTATCTCGTTTGTCCTTCCATCCGTCTGTCCGTCTTTCCGTCCGACAATTTTGTGCGGAGCATATCTAAAAAAGTATTTGAGGTATCAACTTGAAATTTCATAGGTGGATGACCTTATTAAGAGGGAGTGCAGTGCACAAGAATGATAACTCTATTCTGCGTAATTTTTTAGGCATCGCCCTTTGTTATTTTTCAAAATTAGTTTTTGTCCAGAACATAACTCAAAAAGCCTTTGAGATATCAACATGAAACTTCATAGGTGCATAGATCTTACTCAAGATGTGTGTAGTGCATAAGAATGATAACTCTACCCTGCGTAATTTTTGAGGTATTGCCCTTTGTTATTTTTCAAAATTAATTTTTGTCCAGAACATATTAAGTCAAAAAGCCTTTGAGATATCAACATGAAACTTCATAGGTGCATAGATCTTACTCGAGATGTGTGCAGTTCACAAGAATAATAACTCTTACTCTCATATTTTTTGAGTTATTGTCCTTTGTTATTTTCAAACTCTATTTTTCACCGGAGTGGAGCATAATTCAAAAGTGTTTGAGATGTCAACATGAAACGTCATAGGTGGCTAGATCTTATTGAGGAGGAATGCTGTGCGCAAGAATGATAACTCTTCCCTATATAATTTTTGAGTTATTGGCCTTTGTTCTTTTTCATACTATTTTGTCCGGAGCTTATTTAAAAAATGTTAGAGGTTTCAACTTCATAGGAAAATAGATCTCATTGAAGAGGAGTGCATTGCACAAGAATGATAACTCTACCCTGCATAATTTTTTAGTTATAATCCTTTGTTTTTTTTTGTTTTTTTCAAAATTAATTTTTGTCCAGAGTGTAACTCAAAAAGCCTTTGAGATATCAACATGAAACTTCATAGGTGCATATATCTCACTCAGGAGGTGTGCAGTGCACAAGAATGATAACTCTAACTTTCATAATTTTTGAGTAATTGCCCTTTGTAATTTTTCATACTTAATTTTTCACCTGAGTGGAGCATAACTCAAAAGTGTTTTGGATGTCAACATGAAACATCATAGGGGGATAGATCTTATTAAGGAGGAATGCTGTGAGCAAGAATGATAACTCTACCCTATATATTTTTTGAGTTATTGCCCTTTGTTCTTTTTCATACTATTTTTTCCAGAGATTATCACCATCATCATATCATATACATTCTTACATTCAGCGGGGGATGGCCATGTTGACATAGCTCTTGTAAAACTGGGCCTAGTTCTGAATGTTACTTTTGTATAGACGCCATATTGTTCACAGCAGTATCACGTGATCAAACTGCGATGTGGCACGATTGGTAACAGTAATTACTGAATTGATCAAGAGATCAAGAAACCGCTGCGAGGACTTTTAGCGCATTTAGCGACACGCGTAAATGAATTATAAAAATAAAATACGTGTTATTGTTGCACATTTTATTTAAAAATTATTTTCCTCAATTGCTGTGCATATGCATTCAATTTCTCTATTTGGTTGATAAGAGTGTGAAGCGTGTAAGAATTGTTAAACATGAATCTTTAGCTTAATCTAAATAATATAAGCATATCTTTAGCCTAATCTAAATAATATAAGCATCTTTTCAGTATATCCATGGTTTTAAACAAACTTGTATTTTGATAGAACTAGATAACATGTTTATTGTCTTTTAAGATACTACTTATTTGTTTCTTTCCAGCAATTACTCCATCACTACAGTATGATTATCCGCCAAGCCAAAATCAAGACTTGGCTCAAACGTCAGTGACCTTTAGCTGTAGTACCGGATGTGCATATCCTGCACCAAACTTTAAATGGTATTATAATAAGGTAATTTTGATTACTAATGAATTGTATGTTAAATTTGTTATTAAGTAGTTAACCATCTGGAACTAAACACCGAGTAAAAATAAAATATATTTATTTCCTTTGTAGTCATCTCTTTAAAGAGTAAGTATTATGTCAAATATGCTATCAATGTGATACATTTGTTGCATTAAAGACTGGTGGATCTTGGCTCGAATGGTCAACAACAGCACCTGTGACAGAGAAAACTGGCAGTTGTACAGACTCTGAGAAAGTAATATACATTCTATTCTAATCATAATTAACCTTTTTTCTACCAGATACACTCAGTTTACTTGAGCGAGAGTATAGATAAACCAGTGTGAAAGTTACAGTGTGGTGCCTATATCACAATTATATTGGTGCAGAAAATCAACGTGTTACTCCAGCATCTGTAGATGTCAGATTTGCAGGTAAATATTTTTCTTTCATTTTTTTTATTTACTTATTGACAATACAATATTCAAGGCAAGTAATTCCAATGCTACACATATTTCTAATGTAGCTTTTGTACTTTTTCCGATATGCATACATACAGTAGGGTGAACGTGTCAGTTTACACGCAAAACGCACGTTACACGCTATACGAACGCACGTTACACGCTATACGAACGCACGTTATACGCACGCAAAACGAAACGAAATACGCAGACGCACGCAAAACGATATACGCTAAACGAAATACGCTAAACGATATACGCACGCTAAAACGCACGCAAAATGAAAACGTTTCTAAACCTTTATTAAAACATCGTAATCATTTTAAGTTTTTAACAACTTTAGCTAGATGTAGATCGTTTAGCGATAAATTTTGATTATCATATAGATCTATATGGTAGCTAGAAATTAAATGTATTTTAAACGAGTTTATGTAAGAACTGAAATGCACTCAACCTAGCACCGAAATTAATTTTTGTCAAAGCCTCAACAAATGATTTTTAGAAATATTTATAAGCTATCATGCGCTAATATCGAAAGTATAATAGTTAGGGTAACGTGTTCCTTTTTATGCGCAATCGGATAAAGAACTATCCATTGCATTCACTACGTAATCTCTACGTAATAGTCCAACATGGCCAACTTTGAAAAATGCATTGCAATTTTTCATAAATATACAGTGCTAACAATTAAATTCAGATGGATTTATGAGGAAAATCTATATATTAAGTGAGGCTGCATCATAAACAATCGAACTATATAATCTTGAGTGTAAAATAAAGGAATTAACTATTTTGACAGAAGTCACGAAAACAGATTAAAAACACTGGATTCTACAACGGATAACATTAAGGGAAATGGATAACATTAAAGGAAAAGCTTCCAGAATCAAGAATGATTAAATTGCTGGCACAATACGTAGATTTAAGTTGATGTCCTGTATGTTTCATTAGGACACCACATGATTTACTGTCTTGTCGCCAGTAAAAGCTTCTCAAAACGAAAGTGAAAGTAGAAAATAAACAGTGAAATCACTAAAAAAGGTAAAATTTCTAGGGCATTACAATATATGAGTATAGATCTATATAAATATTAAGAACGCAATTTCATTTTAGGTCTGAAACTGTAATCGAGTGGAAAAAAGATGAGGAAAATAAGGAAACTGGTTGTGATGTTAAGTTATTGGATTTACAAAGACAGCACAACAGAAAATATCTTTCATATCACTTAAAATTGAAATTTATTGACATGCGCTTAATATATAATATGAAATTAGGCAATGCCTAATATGAAATTAGGCAAAGCCTATGAACGGGGAAGTTGTTAAAAAAATCCTTTCATTCTTTCCGTTTTAAACATAGGTGTTCGGCGCGTTGATTGGTCACTACCCCGCACCCCCCCCCCCCCCTCACCCACTCTACAGCCCCCTACCTCTCAAAACCATGTAAAATACAGTATTTTTCATTTGAAACATGTTTTAATAATTGGTTTATGCTTTTAATTCAATCCTACACAAAATAAAAAATTGATACATATATAGGTGTACGGCGCGTTGATTGGTCACTACCCCGCACCCCCCCCCCCCTCACCCACTCTACAGCCCCCTACCTCTCAAAACCATGTAAAATACAGTATTTTTCATTTGAAACATGTTTTAATATTTGGTATATGCTTTTAATTCACACTAAAGGTTACACAAAGTGCACTTCTAGTGCACTACAATATGCACTTCTAGTGCACTTTGTAGTGCACTACATAAGTGCACTTTGAAGTGCACTAGACCTATTATATATATTTAAGCAGTTAACTTTTAATTCAATAAATAACAATTAGAATTTATATTTATATCTTAAATAGATATATATGTTGTTGTTTTTCTAATTATAATTTACTTGAAGTTGTGTATATTGGATGTTTTAAGATAAGGAGTAAAATATTAGAACCCTTATTTTATAAGTTCATAAATGTTACTGGTGTGGTTTATTACTTGATTATTGTAATAAGTAAAAATAAATAATTATATTTTTGATGTTGATAAGTGTAATAAACAAAATTAATTGATATTCAATATGATTCTATTGTATAATAACCAGCTTATGAAACATAAAACTGTGAAAAGCTAATTAGACAAATTTCAGTCATTTTGGGGAAAATTATACCAATTAGTTATTGTGATCTTTAATTTGGTTGTTTAAGTTAAATGTAATGATTTTATGTGTGAATTGGCTATTAATGCTTTAAAGAATAAAAATGCTTATAATTGGCCTTAATTTTGTCAATTAAATATTATTATCTCTCTTGCCCTCTCAAACTGAGATTTACCAGAGTATATAAGATCTATGTAAATGATATATTTTATTCTGAAAAAAAAATTGTTAAAAGAGATATATAATTGCAGTGCTTGGATAAATTAAAATTTTGTTTACAAGGATATATTTCAAATCACATAAGGATATATAATAATCATGACAGCTAGACAGCAAAGTTTGTCAGGTAAGAAATAATTTGACTATTTTTTTTTCAACTAAATATTATTATTGATTTTTTTTTAAAGTAACATACTGATATATTATATTTTGATTTTTATAAATGTGTCTAACAATTTAATCACATCAAAACTTGAAATTGTTTAAAATCTTTTCTGGCATTAAATTTTCTTATAGTGTAAGCATCAGATATGTTGGGCCGTTATTTTAAAATTAGTATGTTTCAATTGTCCTTATTATTTCTACAAAATATTGCTATTAAACATGTAGATATTTAATAGATTTTAGTATGAAATTAAGTGACCATTATTCAATTTTCAGCCAAAGTGCCTAGGTATGTAGCTTTATTCTTCCCAAAAGATAAAACTACTGCCATAGTGCCAACAGACAACATCCAAACAGAAACATTCAAGGACAAAGATGTGATAACTGTTAATTTTAATGATGAAAACCTCAGTGCAGAAATAATTTTGATGAGCAGTAAGTATTTTTTAGATATTTTGCTTGTATTTTATTGGATTTATATGTTTTAGAACTTCTTAACCCCCACGGTGCAAGTTGTAAACAGATGATAAGCACCTCATCAGTTAAATAAACAGTGTCCTGCCAATAAACAACTTGACACTGATAAGATCAACATACTAGGGGCATAATGTACAGTATAGTATTTAAATTACAGCTAAATTATGTATCACTGAAAATGGAGACTTCATTAAGAACTTAAGAAAGAAAGAAGAAATCAAAAATGAAATTTTAGTAAAAGATATGAAATGACCATTTTTCAGTAAAAATGAATTTTTAAAGTGACTTGCACCAAGTAGAATAAAAGTTAAAAAGATACTTCAGTTAAATAAAATTAAATGTCTAAGAATGCATATAAAGACCAGTAATTGTAAATCAGTGTAGATAGTAAATAATTCAGTGAAAATAACATATCATTATTTGTACATGAAATAATGAAAATGTTAACAATAATCTGCAGTTGTCCTGTAAAAAGATCATTATAATTACTGAGATTTATTGATTGTATTTTACATAAAATTTACTTTTATCTTCTTTTTAGACTCTCGTGCCACATTAACAGATTCATTAGAGGAGTTTGTACCCTCTACATCAGAAACCACTGAAATCCAGGAAGCAGACTTGATTTCAAACAAAAAGTCTAAGAAGGCATTAAAAAAGAAAACAGATGTAAGTATATTTACTTATGTTGTATCATAATTTCTGTATATCTTTCAGCGATTTTTAAGACAGTACTATGTGTTAGATATAAGTTACTGGTATAATGGCATAAACCATTAACATTTTTTTGTCTTATAAAGCATTAAAGCAGCATGCCTCCAGATTAATGCTCATTTTCATTAAAATTTTAAAAATGTATTAAAAAGTAAATTATTGTAGAATGATCAAAGAAAATAATTTTCACATTGCAAAGAACATTTGCAATCCATGTAAATTACCAAAAAGAGGTAAAAATAAGCAAAAATAGCCAAACGCAGTAGGAAAATGGTGATAAATACTGAAAAATCAGCATTTATAATAGCACATGACATGTAAATCATTACTCGAATCGTTAATATTTTTCCTTAAAAGCAAATGCGAGATTACAGACATCGGATTTTGGAAGCTAACACCTGCTGAGGTATTAGGAAGAGATTCAGAAAGTGTAAAAGAGTGTGCCAGTAAAAGGTCTGTGCTATACAACCCAACGTTTGATGGAAGTTTAATTGAGAGTGTTAAATGTGAAAGCCTGAATCAAAGAACTTTTATTTTGCTAAAAATCTGATGCACTCTGCTCTTATGATTGATGAACTGTTTAATAAGAACATTAACGGGAAAGTGACCAATGTTACAAAATAAGGCAAAGATCAACCCAGCTAAAATTACCAAAATCAGAACTGAAGTCTTTAAGTACTTCCCATGCTTGCATCTGAAGAAAAAAAGTGTTGGTCTGAATGTGTGAAAAAATGGACAAGGCAAACTTGTATTTTTTTCTGTAATTGATAAGAAATAATGACATTTCTCAGATCAAAAGCTATGTGATGTTGTAGACATACTGTATGGCTCAGATGAAATGTAGATTAAGAAGTGATAAGTGTGGATAAATAGCCTGTGTGGCAAATATATTAAAACTGTTGACTTTTAACAAAGAATTTATAAACTGTCAATTTCCATTTTTGAGACAAACAGTGACATGTTTTGTTGTTGTGATTTTTTTTTTTATATACACTGTAACATATGCAATTTGATTTATTTTAATTTTTGAAAATGAAATGCACAAATAAATTTTTAGATGTTTTGTGTGTGTGTTTTTTTTATTATTTTTTTTTTTTTTGGTACTACTTGTAAATAAATTTATTACACCAACATCCAAGAATACCCAATAAATATTGCCTACTTATAATCTGCCTATGCTATTTACCCTGGGGGCTTTCTTATCAGTAGGATACTATAAAAACCACCAATACAAAGCATGACTTTTGACACTCTAATATTCTTTGTATGTATTTTCAAATATTTTTTTAATTAATTTTAATAGGAAATGAAGGTTATTGAATTAAAAGCATAAACCAAAAAAGCATAAACCGGGTAATTTTTGAAGAAAACCCAGCGGTCAGGATTCTTTGTCCGAGTTTTTCATTTGCGGGTGACTTTGAGATTACACATCTTCTGATAACTTTGAAATTCGTAAATGACAGCTTTTATTTCCTTTAATGAGTAAATCAATTCCCTACCACTTTTGGTAAAATGGAGTTCATATTAAGAATGAGTGCTTATTATAAAACATGTTTCAAATGAAAAATACTGTATTTTACATGGTTTTGAGAGGTAGGAGGGCTGTAGAGTGGGTGTGGGGGTGAGGGGAGGGTGCGGGGGTAGTGACCAATCAACGCGCCGAACACTAAATATATATGCTATATCATTTTTTTATTTTTTTGTAGGAAATGAAGGTTATTGAATTAAAAGCATAAACCAAATATTAAAACATGTTTCAAATGAAAAAATACTGTATTTTACATGGTTTTGAGAGGTAGGAGGGCTGTAGAGTGGGTGTGGGGGTGAGGGGGGGGGGTGCGGGGGTAGTGACCCAATCAACGAATTTGAATTTTCTTTTAAATATACACGTGTAGTCTATAGCCGGGCAAGCCAAAGCCCGAAGCGGGCCCGGACTTTGACTTCCCAGTATAAACGGGGAAGTCATTAAAAAATCCTTTCATTATTTTCGTTTTAAGGGTGTCATTTTGGTTTTACATGCACCGCTTCCGTTTTCACTCGGAACACTCGACAATTATTATTGATCCGAAAAGTTGAGATTTGTTCCATTATCGGAATACCCCGCCTATTATCATTGAGTTTCATTGTAAATGGCGGCGCCCGACTAGAACTGACACTGAAAATTTCATTGATAGGTATAGAATTCTATATATATAAATCAAATTGTTTTTTTATTTGATTTTCTTTTAAATATACACGTGTAGTCTATAGCCGGGCAAGCCAAAGCCCGGATCCGCTTCGCGGGCCCGGTCTTTGACTTCCCCGTATTAATATGCTTTATCACACACCGGTGACGATTTTGCCACTCAGTAAATATGGTATTGCACATCCATGCATATAATTTGACGTGACGTCATTAGAGTTATACAAACAGTGTGTAAAGACGCGCTAAATGTTAGCATTATACTATAGGCGCGTTAATGAAAAACTACTCTTATTTCACTTTAAACGGTCTTTATTTTGTGTATGTGATACAGTAGGGTTAACGTTTCAGTTTACACGCAAAACGCACGTTCCGGAAAAAACGCACGCACGTTACATGCTATACAAACGCACATTACACGCACGCTTTATGAAACGAAATAGGCAGACGCACGCAAAACGAAATACGCTAAACGATATATGCATGCTAAAACGCACGCAAAATATCCTTATAAAATATCCTTATCATATAAATTTTTAACAACTTTAGATAGTTTAGTGATTTGATTAAATGATAGCTAGCCATTCATGTATTTTAAACGGGTTTATGTTAACTAACTTATCTTATGTCCCAGGTTAGAGCTGTAATGATATCAATCCGCGAATGCACTCAACCTGGCACAATATTATTTTTTGTCAGGCAGCCTAAACAAATGATTATTGAAATTATAAGCCATTAAGGCGCTAATACGCATGCATTAAAAATATTAAACAGGGTCGTCATTTTATGCACATTTCTGAAAAAAATACTTTGCTGTATACCAGGAATGTCTTAGATAGATAATAATTACTTCGACACCGCTTCTGGCCTAAACAAAATAAAATAAACGGTAGTAACTTTAGCAAATCAGCGATCAAATTATCAAATCATTTACATACAGGCGAACGAAATTAATACATGACCTTTTTAAACAAAGGAAAAACATACATTGCAGACAGGCAGCCCAACATATTTTCCAGACAAGGGCTAAACCTATATGTTTCAGGACTTTACACCTCCTGGACGTTTCGGCCCTGAAAGTTTCAACCTCAATTTTTAACCACCTTTTTTCAATTTGATAAATATATATAATAAATACCATGCATTATGGGTTATAATATATATTCTTACATGACCCGCATTTATCCTATTGAACATAGAAGAACAGAAAGTGTGTGTTATTATGCAATAGATGCACAGTTTGACATTCTATATTTAGACATGTGACGTTATCATTATACACGTGACGTAACCACAAAAAATCTGACGTGCTGAAAATAAGTACGGAAACAAATTTGAGGCGCAAATTTGCTTGACTATCAAGTACAGCAACATTTATTTGTTGATATCGTGATAGAATCGAAATAATATATCCAAATCAGTGATTTTATCGCTTGATAACAACACTGTTTGTCATTTGAATGTGCATCATTATAATTCCTCGCATCCGAACTCCAAACAGTGATGTTATTGAGCGATAAAATCACTGTTTGGGATATATTATTTCTTAAATATATATAATATAAAACATACTTGCAAACATGATTGATATAAAAAAGATTTTCGGTGATAATACGTATAATGAAATTTATTTATAGGGCATTATTTCTTAATTTTCAATGAAATTTGTTGGGATTTTCTTATATAAGTCAATTTGATGTAGGTATAACTTAATATAATAATACTATGTTGCTTATTTAACTTTGATTCGTTTACCATGAGGTTATAATCAGGTAATGTTACTCCCATTTTTAATGAATTTAAGTGTGTAAGTTTGTATAGTTATACATCATAGGAAATAAGCCATAATCTTTTGAATATTCAATGTAATTTATTGAGATATTCTTATTTTAATCAATTAGATATGCTTGTTAATTAATATAATATATTTATGTTGCACTTATAATTCTGTTTCATTTCCTAGGCTGTTATAATAAGGTAAAAATCCCCATTTTGTAGTGAATTGGTGTTTTATCTTAAGACAGTAAGGTATCTTGGGAAATTTGCAATAACTCTTATATTTTGTACTGAAATTTGGTGGGACTTCCTTACTTTAGTCAATTAGATACGTTTGTTAATTAATATGATAGATTAATGTTCCTCTTGTAGCTTTGTTTAATTTCCAAGGCTCTTATAATTAGGTAAAATTTTCATATTTTGTAGTGATTTAGTGCATTATCTTGGACATTTAGGCATCTTAGGAGATTTGCCATAATTCTCATATTTTGTAATGAAATTTGTTAGGACTACCTTATTTTAGTCAATTAGATATGTTTGTTAATTGATATAATAGATTTATGTTATATAAAAAAATTCTGTATCATTTCCTATGAGGTTAAGTTTAAGGTAAAATCACCCGGTGTATCAACATTTTATGTGGCACTGCTTTCTTTAATAGTTGGGGTCCACATAGAATTTACTATAACATTATTGGACAATTATTGAAATCTTCTTTTTTAAGTCATCTAATTAAAGCTTTTAATTAATAAAGTTAATTTGGATTGAGTTATCAATTACATTACTTTTCACAGGGATCTTGTATTATGCCCTTTTTAATGAACTGACCTACCTATGAAGCATAAAATTGATATTGTAGGAAAATTAAAATTACAATCAATTGAAATTGTACAGGTCCCAAAAGATATACTAGTATGCAAAATGGGTTTTTGTAAATTTATATAAATACATAGGTGATATTTAAGTATGTTATAGTTAGAATTTTATCAGTTATGAGGTTTATAACTTACTTGAGGGAAGTTAAACAAGTGACTTGGGACTACAGCATACCTATCTTTACTCAGCTGAGAAAAATCTTCAAAGAATTATATGGTTATATATGGATAGGTTATATACTTTCAAGTTAGCAAAGGGCGACACAGGCTCATCT